AAGTACATCACGTGGCTCCGGTGGATCTGGCGGTAGCCAGAAATCCAAACGTGGAAAAGGTTCTTCTTGTAACCCGGCTGCTGTTTGCCATGCCTGCTGGGGAGAAACTAAACGTGGCCATGCTTGATACTCCCGCTGCGAGCTCCTCTTTCTCTTTTTGGTGAGCCTGAAATCATTAAACGCGAGGTTCATGATAAGTCTTCAATGTTTCCAGTTGCTGCGTGTGAGCAAAGCAGGAAAGTCAAGTTTTCGATCGGCAAGTAAGCTTGCACGCTAAATCCCACATGGACAAGGCCTCAAAGCTCGAGGCTTCTTCGTTGATTGACGGGCTGTGCGCAGACGCGTTCTATGCTTTCAACTGCGCTCTGGACACGGATCTGAGGTTTCTTCCGCCGTGCTTCCGACCCAACGAGGCTCAGCAGATCCCTGGTCAACGTCAAGGCCAAGATCCTGATCCCGGAGACTTCACAGTGAGAGGTGGACATTGCGCACGAGGTTCCCGCGTTCTGGAAGAATCGAATCCTTCGACCCGGAGTGTTTGTTGGCGTGCGTGCCAGTCCGATTCGAAGTGCTCGGACTTTCAGTATCATTCCTCTCGGAAAGAAGGACATTGACGCCCTCAAAGGAGTCCTTTGCCAAATGGCTTGAGAGAAGACTTGCAACGCATTCCATTCTACCATGAGTACTTGGTACGCGCCGACCCAGCTGCCGTCCACCGTGAAGGAGTGGAACGAGCCAAGGGTCGTGGAAAGGGTTCATGGAGGACCGGAAGCCGACGTCACGATCGTTACCCATATACGCCGGGTGAGACAGGCAACTATCCTCATCGTCGCGAAGCGCGCAATTGGCAGGGTCTAGAAGATGACGCAGGGACAGTGCCAGCGTAGCACTACGCCGATTGGACTTGGTACTATGATCACTACGGCGCAGACTGGTGGCCGTGGTGTCTCTATCGGGATGACAGTTGGGCAAAACTTTTCAAAGCTTTCAGCTTGTTTGTGATAGCGCTGTGTCAGGAGTGGTGTCATGAAAGCTTCCATGAAAGTCCAAGCATGCACTGCAGAAGCAGATGCCTTGACCTTTCTTTTTGCAGGACATACCACATCTTTTGTTTGGCGTTAAATTATTATGCGCCGAAGTGCACTCTTCCCGGAGCATCAAGCTGCATTCCACGTGAAACGTGTGCGTCGCCTGTCACTTGAACCGCTGTGGATGCATGAGAAAATCTATTGCGTCCACTATTCCTTCGTTCGACCGGCGTGAACTGCATTAGAACGTTTGCCATTATCCTTGCTCCCCGTGTACGTCTCAGGTCGGCTAAAGAACTGTGAAAGCCAAAAGGCGCGTACAGGTGTGCGGGGAACCGGGAGTCGGTGACACGCACGTTGTCCCATGTGGATACGTGTGTACAGTATAATTCACTAGTCAACCAAGTGCGTTCAGCGGGGTTGTTTTTGCAGCGCTAGTACATGGTACATTGGGCTCGAGAAAAAAAACGCTCTGGCTCTGCTTGTTGGTGCTTTTAGGCTGCTGGTCTGTAAATTCAATAAAAGATTGACATATCATAGATTGAAGATTGACAACTGCTCAAACAATTCCTATTTGGTTCTTGGATAGTCACAGCTTGTTTGGTTACAGTTTTCATTCTTTGCTCTACTCCAGCAGAGGACTGACAGCCCCAAGCACTCACAAGGGTCATGTCTCATTGAGACCAGGAGAAAGAAGTTGAAGATCGTCGAACATTGCAGCTTCAAGGCCAGAGTTTTGAGGGTGCAATCGAAAGCACATGGTGCGCTGAAAAAACCGTAGTGGAAAAATAGATCAACTTAAGAAACGGGCCCCCAGCAGCCTTGCGGAACTGATATGACTCGACCGCGATTTGTTGGTAGGTGTGTTTGTGTGTTGTCAGACTTCTTCTCCTGTTCTTTCTTAAACCGTCCCTCCTTCCTTCTCCCTCACCCACCCACTCATTCACTTACTCACTCAGTCAGTCAGTCAGTCAGCCAGTCATTTGCTTGAGTACCAGCGCTTTTTTTGTGCTAGCCGCGCGTTAGCTCCGCGCTAGACGACGGTACGTGGCCCACCATTTTTTGATTCACTTTGGCAATCATTAGCTCTTCATGTTCGCTGAAGCTCTGGGCTGTGGGGGGTTGCTGCGAAATGTCGTCGTAACTCGTAACCAACTAGCAGCATTCCAGCAGCGGCAGCAACAGTAGCAGCGCCAGCCTCCGTTAAGTTTCTGACCTTGTTTTGTAAGATACATGTGCCCTTACGTGAAATGTAGAAGCGGGCCCGCATGGAATTGCAGTGAGTGCACCATTTTGGGAACAGAGATTCTGACAACCATCCACATGTTCTTTCTGTTTTTGCAGTTTTGTTTGGTAGGTCAGCTTGCCACGATACAAAAGGTTTTGGGCATTGATGCGAAGCTCTGAGAATTGAAATTGCAACTCTATTTCTTTTCTCTCTCTCTCTCTCTTTCTTTGACCTCATGGCAGTAGCAAACATGCTCAGGCTGAAGATGGTGGCGTCCTTGGCTCTGAGTCTAAGAATGATGTGACATTGATGGCGCGGAGGTCTTTCTACGCTGGCTGCATGGCGCTTGGTGGGCAACATCAGTGGCTTCGCAATTGATGCTGACCGCTCGGACCCAAGGAGTTAAAGTGCAGCTATGCACATTTCAAGCGAATTGTACGGTTCCTGCAAATCAAACTTGAACACAGCAACATCCAAGCCAGCGACACCTCTCCGAAGCCTTCATTCAGTTTCACCGCATCTATGGTCTCCACCCTCAGAGGCGCTTTTGAAGAAGGCAGGTCACATTTATTGATAGTCTACCCGCTGCCTGACACGTGCATTGACACAATGTTCTGACACTTGTTCTGGCATCAACTCTGGTTTGTGTTCTGACACGTCATTTGTCATAAAGTTTTTAAAGTTTGGGAAATGTCTTAGTTTGTTCTGATATCCCAGGGTATGTTACGGGTATGTTACATCCACTAATTTGCTTTTGCAAATTGTTTCTTCAACAAGTAACCAACTGTATCTGCAATTGACACCTATTGAAATGCATACTCTGTCCGGGTTCATAACAGCGTGTTTGCAGCGGACAAACAGGGTTCAATATTTGCTGTTGCACTGGGCCGCGAGTTCCTGAGTCATCAAGAGGCAGTCACACTTAACAATATTTTGGCTAAAGACCCCATACAGTGATAGGGAACACAAAAGCAAGCAATTACACGGAAGACATGGTGGACCATTTTGCTGGTGTTGCTGGTGCTGTGAAACCCTTCTACGAGCGCGAAACAAGGGGCACGTTTTGATGGAGGTGTCAATGTAGCGACGCCCTTCTATGAGCCTCGCGCCAAACGGCACAGGATCTGCGCGCAGAAAACAAAGGCAGGGACCACGTCCAGTGTCACGGTCTGTTCGCACTCGCGCAAGAGCATTCAGTGCTGTGAGGCCGTGAGCCTCACGCAGGGGATGTTCTTATGCGAGGGTGAGACAAAAGTTAAAGTTGCCAAAGTGTGTTGCGAAACAAAAAGTGCGTGTTGATATGGGCGTGCCAATGCTCACAAAGCACTGCACCTGCCGCGAAATGTGCACATGGATATTCGCAAGTGCTGTGCCTGCCACGACATTTGCACACCAAGATTCACATCGCGCAGCCCTGCCAGTGCATTTCGCAACACAAGCACTTCCAAAGACAAGTTCGGGATGAAAAACCAAGCTTTCTTCTGAAAAAGAACCACAGGCCCAAAGATCACGATTCACCGCACCTGTCACGAAGTCAATGCGCCGAAGACCACGACCAAGTTCAAAGTGCTGCGCCTGCCACGAAAAGTCGACTTCAGGCCACCGCCGAAGCACGAAGATAAGTCCGAAATGGACACGGCACCACAGGGAGGCAAGCGCCGCGCTTGCCCAGCAATTTGTGTGATTGTCGAAAATCAGCTCGAAGATCTCGCAAGGCGTGAATGTGTGGTGTAAATAGGCGACTTAGCTGCTTACATATGTGAGCACCCTCGACTTAACACCTCCCTAGTGTGACCACTACTTGGTTAACAAGCGATCAACGGAAAGTGTGGAAAGCTTCTTGAAAGCCAAGAGACACATTTGCTAATGAGTTTGAGCTCATCAGCTTTGAGTAAGGTGTCGCTGCTAGGAGCACAGTCCTTGAGCGTCGACAGGGAGACTGGATGCGACATGCTGCCAAGTTGTCTTGCACTTGGATTGTTGTGCCTCACAGCTCCTTGCTTCCTTCTGGATCGTAAGAACCATCAGGTTGGCAGGATGTCCATTGAAACAGGCACCGCGGCGCTGCCGCATCTTTTGCATGTCAGTCAAAATGCTGTTCGATTGGGCTTGTGAGATATTCGCAAAAGCTTGTCCTGAGCGGCTTTATTGGCTTTATTACCTTTTTTCCTCTCTCTCTCTCTCTGCAGTAAAACTGTTGTGTTTCAGTCTTTTGCATATGGCCTCTGAGTCTGGACCCTTGCAGGGAAGTCACCACTTTGGAGGGGTGGAAACACCTTGTAATTTCAGCAGATTGTAGTACTGAAGGGTGGAAAACCAGTTCCTGAATCAATCGCGACAAACATTGATGTCTTGAAGCCAGGTTTCTTCAGATTGAAGGACTGACCATTTCAAGGAGGTCTGAAGAACGCACTACAAAGAAGCTGTTCGCAGAAAAGGTTCGTGCACATGGTCGGACGCCACTTTTGAGATTCGTTCAATCTCCAGACATAGACTCAAAGTAGTGACTCGTGACTGCACAGTTAGAGAAGAAAACAGAGAAGTAAGAAGTAGAAGAAAAGGTAAGGCGCTCTTTAATAAGGCCCGGCCTTTTAGTGGCGGTAGATTGTAACATTGTAGTCTCCGCTGCGATCTCTCTAGATTCAGTGGATTTTTGAAACGTTCGCAGAAAGGCACGCATGGTCTGGCACGCCTCCATAATTAGAAGATAGTGAGGGAATTGTTTGATCCCTTCGTTTCCACAGGTACATTATGGAATTGATCGAAATCGAAGAAAAGGCTAGAAGGCTTGTTGTGCAGGCTGGGGCGCAGCACTTCTACTTCTTGTACAGTAATTAGCAGGTATAGACACACCATGGTGATTGTACTTGCATATAATAGCTACAGCTTCTTCCTGTGTAGATGGCGAGGCCATCGAGCGTGAAAGACAATTGCACTTGATAGAGGTGTGGTCGAACTGATTTGGTTGAAACCACTTGGCAATGAGTTCGAACATCAGTGCATGTTGTTTCTTAGGCGCGCAATGTTCAACCTTTATGTCAGCAAGTCGAGTACAAGGAGGCACCCAAACAAATCTCAGCCTTCTGAAGTGTTTTGCAACAGCTGAGATGTATTTTGCTCGAATGTAGGATTCGTTTGAAAGGGCTCAATTCTTGAAGTCATGTAAGCTGCTTGTGCTGCTCAAACGCAATACGTACTCTCAGACAAACTTCTGGCACGAAGGAAAATGAAACGAAGAGGCGCACAGGCGCAAATCGCTTTAGTTTATCTTTGAGGAACTCCGGAGCTTTGTGGCCTGCATCGCCCATCTCAACTCTGTAGCAAATGTTCGACGCAAGGAGCGCTCAGCTTCTTGCACACAGTCTTTTTGCTGAACAGGCATCACTTTAGTTGAAGCATTATAGAAGATGGTTATGCGGGTGTTTTGCCCTACCACGGTTTGGGACTTTTTGCATAAACGGCAAAGAATTTCAATACTCTAGGAATAGAAGATGAACAGGAAACAATGAATAAAGGATGAATAATTCCTTTCAATTTCCTTTGAATAATTTACATTGATATAATTCCTTGCATTTTCCCTTTGAACAATGATCAATTCCTTTCATTTTCCTTTTTAAAACATAGCACTTCTGCTCATTACTTTGCAAAAGAAAGTGAAAGGACTTATAATCATGTTTAAAGGGAAAATAGAAAGAAACCATCAAATAGAGCTGGACATGGAATAAAGAGAAAAGAATGACAGTGATAGTACTCCAGGAATAAAAGATGAAAGGGGAACACTGATAAAGGATGAATATGTCCTTTCAATTTCATTTAAAAAATGCTAAGTTGATATAATTCCTTGCACTTTCATTCGTTCAAGACCAAAGGTGAAGGCAATTCGAAAGGTTCAGACAAAGGCAAAGGTAAGGCTGAGAAAGGATCAGAAAAAGGAAAGAAAGGAAAGAATGAGAAAGGAAAGCCGAAAGGAAAACGTGCCACTGAGTTTCAACAGCAGCCCGAATCAGAAGTCGGAAGTGAGTGGTCTGAGCCAGAACTTGAGAACGGGGGTCGCTTGTCCATGTTTTCGTTCGATGCCGTTGCTCGACCGTTCTTCATCTGTCAGAATATGGACGCTTCAGACCCGATGTTGTGGCTTGTTGACTCAGGTGCCAGCCGAACTGTTATTTCCACCGAAGCACTTTCGGCCTATCGAGTGTTGCGAGAACGAAAGCTATCGTGTCCGATTCACTGTCGCACTGCATCAGGAGAACAGGTTCACATCGATCATGAGTGCATGCTTGAAGTAAGCTTTCCCAACATCATCGAACACGATGATCATGATCGTACTAAGTTGGTAAAGTATGAAATTAGAGCAGTTGTTGGACCTGTTGAGCACAATCTTCTGAGTGTTTCAGGGTTGACAAGGTTGGGAGCCACTTTTGTTTACGGACCTGACCACTGCCACATTCGTGTAGGCGAAATCAGGAGATTGGATTGCGAGATTTGGAGCAGTGTCCCTTGGATCCGTGCCCAACATCGAAAGCACCGTGGGAAGGACCACGACATTGAAATCACTCAAAGCCTGGCATTGGAACCTTGGGTGAACGAAAGTTCGGATTATGAAGCATCAAAAGGTGATTTAATTGCATGGTTTCAGAACAACCCAATGAGTGACACGTCAAAGGATGATAGTTCTGATGCTCAATCCCCATCCAAGCCGAGTGAGAGTCCAGTGAGATTTCCTTCTTTGGGTCAAAGAGTTCTCCAAAGGGGTCATTGGACAGGAGCGGATCGTCCCATCGTCTCAACATATTGAAGTTTGATGATCAACCAGAGATCAAAACCTACGAGATCGAATCTAGATCCAGTCGAATTGAGCCCAATCGTCACACCACGTATCGACATGAGGGATTTTTGCATGTTGCCGAACAGCCACTGCCACCGTTATCTGAGATCGATTTGGGTGGAGATGCATCATCGATGCCCAAAGAGCCTTGTTCGTCGGGTGAGTCGGCCGGGTATCCGAGTTACTCGAAGAAGGTAGATCAAGAGTTGTCCATGCGCCGACGAAGAGGCCACATTCCTTTTGACAGCCGCTGTACTCATTGTGTGAAAAGTAGATCTACATTAAGGCATGGCCGTGTAAGCAATTCGAGTTCCACACCTGGTTGAGAACACCTCGTTGAGCAGTTTCGGAGAACACCTCGTTGAGAGTTGAAGTATTGACGGACAGTGAACCGTTGATAGGGAGCTTGATGAAACGGTTGGGACTTCCGTTGACGGTGAAGGCTGCAGCACCACAAGCTCATGAATCCATTGGCCTCGCCGAGAGGAACGTGAGGAGAGTGAAGGAAATGACTTCCTGTATCAGGTCTGATATGCGCATTCACGGTTTCGACTTGTCGGGAAGTCCAGAGAGTTTCAGCAAGATCATGCAGTACGTCTCCCAAATACACAACCACTTTGGAGTTGGGGGATTTGTTGGACAATCAGTTGGACTTGAAAGCCGTCGAACACCGATCGAGCTTATCTCGAACAAAGACCGGCCAAAACCAGTTTCGACGTTGTTCGGAAGCGTGTGCCACACCCAAGTTCCTGATTCTTTGATCGATTCGGTTCCCGAGAAGACTCGCTTCATTCCAGCAGCATACCTTCATGTGAAACCCAATTCATTGGCCCACGTTGTATCAAGTAGAATCAATGGTCGAGAGTACACCTTTCAGGCAGAAGCGAAGCCCCTCAATCAATCAGATCTTATGGGACATCGATGTAGCCCCGAGCCTGTTGAAAGGCGTTGGGAAGACTGATGCATCAGCGCTGGAATCGAAGCCGGCAGCACCATTGGACGATCAGGTCGGTGTCGCTGAGCCGTTACCGTTGAACGGTCCGCCTCGAGAGTGGGTGAGGGATCACGGTCCGACACGTCAATGCGGTGCTTGCAACTCGTCATCTAGGCATGGAAAGAAACACAGTGCTGGATGCTGCAGACGATATAGAGACTGGGTCCTTTAGATGTGCCGATGCCGGGAGACGATCGATTGCTTGAGTCAGGAGATAATGAGGAGTACACTCCAAGCGAACCTCCAAATCCCGAAGATGTACACATGCCAAGTAGTGAAGATCCTGATCCAAGTTCGATGCCAATGGACGTCTCGCAGTTTTTCGAATGGTTGAGTTCAGCTCCATAGACGCTGTACCATCAAGGTGGTCGTAATGGTTTGATTTGCCCCCTGTACGTTCCCAACAAAGACTCAGGACCATTGAGTACGGAACCAATGACTTTCTGTGGAACTGTCATTTACTTGGTGGAGCCATCATTCGGAATCTCGGAAGACGGATTAATTCGACTCTGCCCAGAGCTTGTCGGGTCAGGGAGAGCCATCGAACTCAAGGCAATGGATACATTGTACGTTGGACGACCAATGAGGTCAGAAGAAGCCCAAAGCCTTGCAAAGGACTTGAAGGTAAAGATCATTCCTTGTCGATGGATTCTGACCAAAGACCGTAGAAGGAGTGCCTGGACAATGCCGTGCGAGGTGCGTTGCACAGGAGATCGCAAGCGGTGGAGCATCTGCCCAGAGTCTAGGTATCTCAAGTACAACTCCCAGTATAGAGGCATTTAGATGTTTCCTGACCATGGTTCAATATCATGATATGCATCTGGCTGGATTAGATATTTCAACGGCATTTCTCAACAGTGACCTTCCACCAGGGATTCGTGCGATTGTTAGATTGCCAGCAGACTGTTCGTTTGAGAGCACATACTATGAAGGGGTATACTTAGACTTGCACAAATCCATGAATGGCTTGTGAGTTGCCTCCAAGAGTTGGCTCCAAACGTGTTCGCGAATCCTGACAGAGAGGGTGGATCTTGTGACTTGCATGTCCGAGCCCACTGTGATGTGCGGTGTCTCCAAGAAGTCAGGTTGTCCCACAGCAGTCGTGATCTATGTAGATGATTTGCTAGTGACTTCAACTTCATTGAATGGAATCTCGGACGTTCGTGAAGCATTGCGGGAGACGTTGAAAGTGAAAACGACAGGAACCCTCACGACGTGGAACAATTGTTTTTCTTGGACGACGCATTGTACGACCTGCCGGATCGAGTGACGTCTTGCTGCGAGTACCGCCAGACTACTTGAAAGACTTGTTCACGAATGATCCATTTTGCTGTGACCTCAAGCCACCCGATATTCCCCCGAACTTGTTGGAAGTGTTGGAAAAGGGAGTCAAAGACCCAACATGTGTGCAACCCTTGTCGGATGAAGCGGCTTCGAGATACAAAAGGATCATTGGAAAGCTGTCGTGGTGGGCGCAGTCAAGGCCTGATCAATCCCGATTTCTCTCCATCCTTGCCACCAGACAGGCAACGCCCAGTAATTTGCACGAGACTGCACTTCGCAAGTACCTTGGGTACGTGAGAAGCCAGTTGCACCTGTTTCAGCGTTTTCCAGCAGGAAACGAGGTGTTGCCCGAGTATGATGGCTTGGTCGGTGTCAGTGACGCCTCTTGGGGTTCGAGTGACCTTGAACGACGAAGATCCACAAGTGGAGGATTGATATTTTGGCAGGGATCCCTTGTGAAAGGTTTCAGCCGCTTGCAGGGATGTGTAACACTTTCATCATGTGAAGCAGAGATCATCGCAGTGTGTCAGTTGACTCAGGAGTGTTTGGGGATTCGCCATCTGACCGAATTTCTTGAGAACTTTGGTGATCGAAACATGTTGATGAAGCTGTCCACCAAAGAGTTCTTGGACTTGAAGTTTGATGATGTCGGCAAACCAGGTGATCACTACCCAATCCTGATCTTTTCAGATTCGCAGTCATGTCTTGGTGCTTTGAGCAATCAGGGTTTGAGTAGGAGAGTTCGACATATGTCCATTTCGGTTTGCTACATCCAGTCGTTGAAGGATTCAGGTAACCTTGCTTTGGAATGGTTGCCAGGGACCAAGTGCACCGCAGATTTGCTGACGAAGGTGCTGTCGAAGGAAACGAATGATTTCCATAGAGCCCAGCTTGGGATCATCGAGATCTTGGGACAGGAAGAATGGCAAGTGATCACGAACAAAGAGTTGAAGAAACAGTCAAAGAAATCTGACGTTCAGGTTGTCGAAGTCCATGATGATCCAAATGTCGAAGACCTTTTAGAAGGACCTGTCGGTTGGAGGGCTTGAAGATTGAGAGTTTTCTGCAACATGTCCAAGCGGATGTCAAGGCTGGGAGCGTGACCCATGTGATCATCGAATTGTGCACCAGTTTGAATGCAGGGTTGTCCCAAGGTATTGGTTCTGTCAAGTCAGGTCATTGCGTTGTCGTTCCTGTTTCAAAAGAAATCGATTTACGTTGTGTTCACAAAC